TTATAAGATTTACTTTTATTTGACCTCATGCCTCTCATATGTTAAGTTCTCTGAATAAAATTTTAAAATCTTTACTGTGAGATGAAAGATGACCAAAAACCTGATGAACTTTCTACTCTGTGTATGTTTCATTGATGTGGTGCTGCAGTGACAGACGATTTGTTGGAGACTTCAGGGCAGAGCAGGATTTCTCTAAGCCAGATTTTTTGGGTTTTGGTATCGATATTATTACATGGGCACTTTGCTGATACGAAGTTGAGAGAGACATCTTCCTAAAACTGATTATGAATGGGAATCACTATATCTGTAAAAGCCTTCTTTTACATAGCATAACTGAGCAAAGGCTATGGAAATCTTGGAAAGTCAAAGAAGGTGAGACTCACTCTTGAACGTTTCTGATTTGCCCAACTGATTTCAGAGTCTTTATTATTCCTAAAACTCACCTTCCAAATCTCTCCTATCTCTATACTTTCTGTACAGAATCTCCTCCTTTGTTCCTTTTGGAAGGGGGTGGGGGTGATATCTGTCCCGGGCCTTGTAGGAATCAAGCTTAGGTTATGGGAGAGAGGAGAAAAAGGCATGTAAGAGAAAAGGGAATTCAGAAAATCATCCAGGAACCAGAGATTTTAATTGGGTTAAACCCCCAATTTTTTGAATTACTGGACTCAGGTGATAAAATAATTTTGATGGAGATAAGACATATATCTGCTTCTAAAACGTCCACATAGAATGTCACAAAAAGAAGGCATCTCAGAGAGGTTTACTGGGCCAAACCTCTGAGGTGTATGCTGGAGTTTGCTGGGGTCCCACACTGGCTGGCATGACTCCTGGATGCATCGTTTCTGGGGAAACCAAGTTGGATTGTGGATCACGCCTCGGGGAACTTCAGAGGCCCGGCCTGATCCGCACTCACTTAAGAGTGAGAAGACGTGCAGACAGTTATTAGAACTAAATGAAAAAACTTATTAATTGCTTATACGTGCTCAGCAGTTACATAATTAGAGAACACGAATGAGGAATTAATGGCTCATGTGGATGTAATAATTTTTAAAATAAAGGGAAAGACGGTGGCAAAGTAGAATGAGTATGAGAGGGACCCGGGTTTGAATCCTCACTCTGTTCTTTGCAAATTGTGTGGTATTACATAAATTCCTTAAACTTTACAAACTTTCTGTTCCTTATCTGTAAAATATCTTTTTCACCAAGTCATTGTGAGTTATAAGAATGTATAATAGAAAATAATTGGTGATAATTTGACATTTACACAGCACTTTCTATGTGCCAGAGACTATTTGAAAAAATTATATACATTAGCTCATTGAATCCTCGAAAGAAGAACAAAATGAGGTAGGTACTCTTGTTATGCCACTTTAAAGAGGAAACTGAGGGACTTCCCTGGTGGTCCAGTGGTAAAGAATCTGCCTTCTAATGCAGGGGAGGTGGGTTTGATCCCTGGTCAGGGAACTAAGATCCCACATGCCACGGGGCAACTAAGCCCATGCGCCACAACTACTGAGCCCACGCTCCTCAACTAGAGAGCCCGTGTGCCGCAAACTACAGAGCCCGCACACCACAACTAGAGAGAGAAAACCCGCACGCCACAACTACAGAGAGAAAACCCGCACGCCACAACTACAGAGAGAAAAGCCTCACGCCACAACTCGAAAGAGAAAAGCCACACGCCACAACTCGAGAGAGAAAAGCCGCACGCCACAACTCGAGAGAAGAGTGTGTGCCACAATGAAGAACCTGTGTGCCACAACAAAAGATCCCGCATGCCTCAACGAATATCCCACGTGCCGCAACTAAGACCCGATGAAGCCAAAAAAATTTAAAAAAAAAAAAAAGGAAACTGAGACACAGAGAGATTAAATAACTCCTGGAATATAAAGGGCAGAGGCAGAACGAGGATATAAACTCAGGAAGCCTGGTTGTTAAACATTACATGATATCGTCTCTCAGTAAGTTATCAGTCACAATAAGAACAATGTTATGATACAGATAAATTAGAAAGAAGTTGAAACATGAAACTAAGAATGGCATTTATGAAAGACAAAGAATATATAAAGTTATAAATATTACTGGCTGCCAGCTTTAACTATGGAGTCTAGTGGAAGGATTTTGGAGCAAGCATTTTGAGTTGTCACTGCTCCTTGGAAAATGACAAATTCTGCTAACTTATATAATTTAAAATGAGGCAAGGCACTAGAAGGATAAAGTCCCTTCTCTTTTGGCGGCAGAAATTTCCTTTCATCATCCTCTTGACAATTTTATACAGGTTTCCTGGTTAAATATTTTATTCTTATCCATTAACAATCTTGCCTCTTATTTTCCTGGCAATATATTATTTTTACAGACCCTAACACGGTCAAGTTTCCTAAGTTTCTTATCTGACCACATCAGGTCAGTTGAGACCTGTGCATTCCAGTGATCAGATCAGAGTGCATTTCCTGTTCCTTTCTCCTAAATTCATTTAACCCGTTTTCCAGCAAGTTGTGTTACTCCATTCCATACATTCATGGTGTTTCCTTCTCAGTTTTGACCTCTCTATAGAATCCATGGTACCATTTCCCATCTGAACTCTCTACATGCTATGTTTTCATCTATGAATCCAACCCATTGTACCATTTTTCTAACTGTGTACACTGTTTGTTAACGATGCCACAAGGAAGCAGGAGAAATACACGTACCCAGAGTTTCTCAAAAGGGTTCTGTCTTTATTATGGACCTTCCCAACTCAACATTTTCTTTTTTTTCTCACTTGATATATTCTCCATAGGCCATCTTGTCTACACAAAGGAACACTATCTCCATACTGTCTATTCCAAGATCTTTATCTCCAGCCCAGATCTCTTCCAAAACCTTCCTATCCAACTACTCATACCTCCAAACTCAGATTCAACCTGTGAAAAACTGAATTCATCATCTCCCATTCCTTCCTCCTTTCCCCAGCCAACTGGTTTCTCCTGCTCTCTTACCAACGCTAGAAAATGGCACCATTATCTACCAAGTCATCCAAGCTGGAACCTTAGGGTCATTCATGACCATTACCTCCTCCTTAACTCCCATAGCTAGTCATTAGCCAGCTCTTGACAATGTTACCTCATTAACCTTCTATTAATCCCCACTGCCATTATCTTAAAATTCAAGTCACCATTATTTCTCACCTCATTCCTGAAGTAGCCTTCTAGCTGGTCCACTACTGCCAGATCTTGCCACCCTCATGACAAAGGGCTAATAATAATACATGAAGAACTATTATAAACCAGTAAGCAAAGGCCAGCAACCAACAGAAAATGAACAAAGGTAATGGAAGAAAAGAACAAGGACCAATAATTCACGAAAAGATGCTCAATCTCACATAAGGAATAATAAAATAATTAAAAATAAGTCAATGAGTTACCATTTTTCCTCTGTTAGACACCCCAAAGTTTGAAGACACAGTGCTTGCAAAAATTTGGGAAAATAGATATGTTCAGTGTATGTATTTTTGGTGCAATTGTAGGTAAATGCATGCAATCTCTTTGAAGGACAAGTGGCAATTATAAGCAAATTTATAAGTGTACACACCCTCTAAGAGGATGAATTTTTTTCACTGTATTTTCTTTGATACAATTTGAATTTTTTCTTTTACCATGTGCATGTATTAGTTTATCAATAAGAAATGTGTTAAATAATTTTTAAAAGTGAACTCCTATTGACAGGAAGACCTCTCATTCAGACAGCAACATGATACTTCCTAGTTACTTCATGAATCAGCCTTCAGCAGCAGTAGCCCAGGGTTTACGTTCTTCATGTCTTCCACCTATGCTACATTTACTCCAGGGCTCTGAGGGCATCTGCTTAGATCTACTCGTTCAATAGACATTTTTTACTCCCTCCTCCCTCTTATTTCAGAAGTAATTTAAGAGGACTGTTGGGGACTTGACACAGGTACTCCAAAACTAAAGTTAATCACAGTAATTTGTTCTAATTTACAGAGCTCATAATGTTACATTTTGATTATAGGAAACTTACCTTCTAAATTATGTTTCTTTCAGGCTCTTTTAATTCATTTTCATTTCCTGAACACATGCATACTGTAATAGCAGGAGAAGTGCTCCCAGAGCATGGTAGAAGGTTGGGAGAGGCCAGCCAGCATTTAAAAGTGGTTGTGGACAAGGTACCCTTCAAATTGGGTTTAAGAATTCTGAGAATGAAAGTTTAAAGAATCAAACGGTGATTAATGAGATCAGTAATTTGTAGCAATAACACAACCAGAGATGACATTTTAATATCTGATTAGCATTTGAATAATACTCCAAATCCAATCAAGGTGACCTGGCTATAATTTGAGAGAAGCAAGACTTCTATACATTATGACTAAAATTAAGAAAGCTTAAACCAACTGTAATGAGTTCTCTTGGAAGACAGAATTAATTATTGCTGGTGGGGAGTACATGATATCTGTAAGAATCACTTGGACAGGGAGATGGAGAACTAGTATTGGTCATGTGTCTCCAAGATAGAGCAAAGCAGAGGGTCTTAACTAGCCAACATTCAGTCCACTTGGAAATGCTTATCCCTATGGTATACACGTGTACCTGGTAAACAGCCACTAAGATTATCCTACCAGATCTTCACATGCTCCCTGTGCCACCTTCCCAGGTTTGTTTGGCTTCTCATACAGGTTTACCTGCAGCCAGCCTCACCCGATGCCATTCAGTCTCATAAGGTCCATGGCAGTTTTTGGAGTCATTTAGTTTAACCTCTACCCAATACTGTTCCCTGACTTCTCATTACTTCCTACCCAGACCCACCATGGGTGATTCTTTTAAATAAACTTGTTCTATCAGTCCTTGAGTAAACCTTTCCCCCTGCAGCTGCAGTCCCCAGATTAGGAGAAACTTTTCAGGCCTCTTTTAAGCCTCCTGAAACTCAAATCTACTTTTATGAGGTAAATGGTTGATGTTCTTGCAACTTTATTTGGCCTTAATTTGGGGGAAAGAAAACAATACAACTATTATTTTTATTTCTTTATTTATCAATAGTATCCAAAAAAAAAAAATCAAGAGTTAACAAAAAACAAGTTAAATGCAATAAGGAAGCCTACTAAATACAAATACATTTCACAAATACACAGGCAACAGAAACCTGTCCAAATTGCTTCTTGGAATTTGACTGTTTAAAAACACAAGTATAAAGGGAAGACATTCAGACTGGTCCACATGGGCTTATTAGCAGGTGGAGGAGCCCTGCTTTCCAAAAGCAGTGATGGAGTCCAGAGTCATGGCATGTGAGAAGGTTTCCATGGACACTGAATCTTAACAGATGCTGTAATATGTTTATAAAAACCATGCACACACAGAGAAAGCCCAAGGAAGCTTGCAGTCTGAGCCCTGTGCTTTTAGAGAGCTGGAAGAACTGAACCCAATTGAATCCTGTTTATTTGCTCCATGCAAAGCTTCACGCAAGACTCCCCAGACTAGGCTATTTAGCAGCTTTCCGTGAATGATTGTCAGATCACATGATCCTGTGGTGCAGACAGTAGCTTCCCTATTTACAGAAGGAATGCAGATTTTGCTCTTGGGAATTCAATGTTGCAGGGGAGGGTCGTCTTGGATAGCAACCACTGACCTAAATGTAACTGGTGAGGAGACACTCTGCCTTCTTGCTTTAAACAGACTGGTACTCCTGCCCTCTCTTCCATAGTGTCCAAGGGCTGGCAAATCTTGATCAAGGCGTGCTGTTGGGAGTTCTCCAAGGCACTTTGACAGGGAGGTACATTTCAGACCACACAAGTTGGGTTGGAAGACAGCTTTTAAGTGGGATGATTTACAAAAGCTCAGAATTCTAAACAAAGTGGAATGTTTTCAAAGGAGAGAAAGGAAACCTGTTTAGAAGGAATTCCATTTTCAGCACAACTGTCTCAGAGTTGCCTGTGCAGTACAGTCTACATCATTTCCCTTTGGTGGTCTGTAATCTGCTTTCTGAAAATGAGATCTTATGTCAAGTTTTCAATTTTGTTATTCCAAATGCATCCTAAACATTGTATTGAGTGGAGTTAATTATCACAGAGGCCGAAAGACACAGGAATGACTGACTTCTCCCCAGTCACAGTTTTAAGATTCAATGTCCATTTTTTTCCCTCTCAAAATGTGAAACCTTCTTTCATCCTCATCTCTAAAGGGAAAGCCATTTCTGTTCCCACGAAGGTTAAAGATGACATGCAAAAGTGAAGACAAAGTGAAGTGGTTCTCTTTCCCACTCTCTTCCTGGGCAGGCTTTACCAGAAGGCTCTGCATCACAGCACAACCCGTGGGGCCATTCAGGCCGAGGTCAGATTTGGTCAGCTTGTTTTTGGCTGTCTGACTCTTATATAACGACAAGGTTTCATTTATCTTAAGCAGAAGGAGGAAAATCACATTGTCTCCTTCTGGACCAATTATCAGAACCACAGAATTTACAATTTCTCAAGTCAAAAGTTTAATGCATTCCTACCTGCTGAGGAAACTGAGGCCCAGAAATAGGAAGAGACAGGGACAGAGTCACTCTCCTAGTTAGTGGAGGATCAGTGAGCATATTGATAGGCTGGGACATCTAAGCCTTGCTTAGCTGCACTGGTCTCAATCCTTTGGAATACTGATTTGCATGGATCTATGAGAATGAATGAAAACAAATTAGCTTTTTGGATCTTAAAAGCTTTGTATGGAGACACTTCTCCTGGCTGCTGTCTGAGGTACTCCCTGCTCTGACAGACTGCTGACCCACTGGAAGCCAGGGGGCAAACTCTGGGCTGCATCTAGTATGTGGCAGGGCTGGGGGGAGTCCGGGTGATAGCAGTCCCTGCACAAGGAAGAACCCCAAACTCTCCCACCTCTGAAATGGCAGGACTAATGAAAAATAATTACAAAAGCTTAATTTCTAGTCAAGAAAATAAAATATTAAACAACAACAACAATAATATAATGATAATAACTGAAGAATGAAATCAACTTGCCAAAAAAGTTTACAGAAAAATAGCACCTTTGGTAAAAAGTATTTTAAAAATTTGGTTAGGTCTCTAAGGGGCTCAAAGTCTACAAGTATCTGCATCATTTGGGTGCACCCTCCCAGACACTGGGTAACTAGGAGGATGGCCGTGTATCTAGAGCCAGTGGCTGGGGCCATGAGGAGAAGCACAGATGCTAGAGGTCTGTTATGCTGATGGCAGCAGGAAGGGCTGGAAGCCGAATGCAGTCTTCTCCACTGAGCTTCCCAAATCCCTCCTCTGGGGACAGCCTGCTAAGCTCTTTCTCACTGCCTGCACCCCCTGCAGCATGTTCACAGCTGTGGTAGACTCAGAAGTGTTCCAGATCTGGGTACACTCTCCCAACACCGATGCAGTTTCCCTCCAGCCCCCGAGCACCATTTACAGTTTCTCTCAAAGTACTCCTAGAAATGAAGGCTATGGCCCTTCCCCTCCTAGCCAGCCACCCCCATTTCCTTTACTGCAAAACAAATAGACAAAATAAAACTCATTGCTATACAAGCAAATACTGGTGATTTGGCGATTGTAGCAGACACTTGCGTATACTGGACTCAGCGCTGAAGTGGAAGAGAAGGTGCCAGGCTCTGGACACCTTTCCCAGATGCCTCCTCATTAGATCTCTTTGGTGCTCACTCTCTTGGTCTTTTCAGCTGTTTCCTTTGAGAAGCAAGAGAAAATAAGCGTTATGGTATAAAAAAAAATATTGGCATTTATCTAGTCTTCAAGACTTTACATAGCATGACAGATACATGCTTATGCCGAGTTCTGTTTGCTTGTCTATCTCCTCTGTGGATGATGAACAACTTGAGGACAAGGATCATGTCTTACTCGTGACACGGCTGTATAGGGACTGTTGCTAAATTAAGAGCTGACCCCATTTAAACTCCTATGAAACAATAACGTCAGACATTATTATATTCACGAAGAAATGAAGAAAATGAAGAAAAGGACGCTAAATGGAGGTGCTACAAAATGTTCTGAATCCAAGTTGGGAGAAGCATTAAGAGTAACAGGCTCGGGACTTCCCTGGTGGCGCAGTGGTTAAGAATCCATCTGCCAACTCAGGGGACATGGGTTTGAGCCCTGGTCCGGCAAGATCCCACATGCTGCGGAGCAACTAAGCCCATGAGCCACTACTAAGCCCACGTGCCACAACTACTGAAGCCCATGCTCTGCAACAAGAGAATCCACTGCGATGAGAAGCCCTGAGAAGCCTGCGCACCGCAATGAAGAGTAACCCTCGCTCACTGCAACTAGAGAAAGCCCGCAGGCAGCAACGAAGACCTAATGCAGCCCAAAAAACAAACACACACACACACACAAAAAGAGCAACAGGCTCTGGAGGCAGATTGCCTGAGCTTGAATCATGGCTGTGTGACTTTCTGGGGGACTTTGGGCATATTATGAAATCCTCTGTCTCAATGTCTTCAACTACAAAATGAGTACTACCTCTTATACCAGTAGCCCATTTCTCCAAAGAAGACATTCTTACTTATAGCCAAAAAGCACATGAGAAGATGCTCAACATCTTTAGTCATTAGGGAGATGAAAATCAAAACTACAATGAGATGCCACTTCACACCCACTAGGATGGCTAATAAAAAATAACGACCATGACAAATGTTGGTGAGTTTGTGGAGGAATTGGAATAGTGCTGGTGAGGATATAAAATAGTACAGTCACTTTGGAAAACGGTCTGGAAGTTCCTCAAAAGATTAAACACAAAGTTTCCATATGATCCAGCAAATCTCACTCCTAGGTATATACCCAATAGAACTGAAAACATAAGTCCACACAGAAACCTGTAGAAGAATGTTCATAGCAGTATTGTTTATCATAGCCAAAAAGTAGAAACAACCTAAATATACATCAACTGATGAATGGATATATAAAATGTGGTATATCCACACCATGAAATGTTATTTCGCCATAAAAAGGAATGAAGTCCTGATTCATGCTACAACAAGGATAAACCTTGAAAACGTTACACTAAATGAAAAAAGTCAGACAGAAAATGCCATATATCATATGATTCCATTTATATGTGTCCATAATAGGCAAATCTATAGAAATAGAAAGTAGATTAGTGGCTGCCAGGGGCTGAGGGAGGGGAGAATGTAAGTGACTTCAAATGGGTATGGGGTTTCTTTTAGGGAAGATGAAAATGCTCTGGAATTAGACAGTGGTGATGGTTGACAATCTTGTGAATATATTAAAAACCATTGGATTGTATACTTTAAAAGGGTGAGTTTTATGGTATGTGAATTACATCTCAATAAAAAAATTAAATAGGGAATAAAAAACAAGTGTCTGGCATCTAGTACACACTGTCGGTGCCCCATCCATAGCCCGTGCCTTTAACGTTTCAGTACACTGGCCTGGCTTCTTACTGCCAGCAGCTGCATCTCTTTGCCTGAGGCTTTCTCTGGCTGCTGGAGCCTGCTCTGCCCACACATGCCGACAGGGCAGAAATGCCAGGGAATTCATGTTTGCCGGTGGCTGCTCTCAGCCATTGGCTGATGGGAGTTCATACAGGCATAGCCCAGCTCCCTGCTCTGTTGCGCACAGTAACTATTCCTGGAGTTCTGCAACAGGACTAAGCTCCACTTGCTCCCAGTGGTAACATGCCTGGATACGCACTCTTTATTGTTTCCTTCCCTTCATGGGCTCTCTTCCCAACTCCCCTTCTGGTGTTTCCTGGGACTGCCTCCCAAATAAACTATTTGTACTTGAGTCCTTGCCTTGGCGTCTGCTTCCGAGGCAACTCACATAAAACAGAGACGCTAAAAAATGTTAGCTATTATCATTCACTCCCCACTGTCTACTCTGATCATTTCTCCACCCTAGAGATGAAAGGAATTCCTATTAAGTTCTTTTTGCTTTTAAGGGTTTATACTCATCTGGAGGCTCAAGGCTGCTGAAATATGGAAAAACAAAGGGCTAGGAGCTTCTGCATTTGTTTTAAAAAATGACATGAGGTTTCTACACTATCAGTGACAATAATGACAATAATGATATTTCAGCAGTGACAAGGCTGCTGAAATATGGAAAAACAAAGGGCTAGGAGGTTCTGCATTTGTTTAAAAAAAAGACATGAGGTTTCTACACTATCAGTGACAATAATGACAATGCATATGAAAAAGCATCAATAAATATGAGAATTTATTATTAATACTAATAATTCTTGATTTTCAATTCAAATATTTCATGTCAATAGTTCTTGTGACCATTATATTCCTTAAAAACTTATATGTCAGAGAGAAGGCCCATATTACCAGACCCAGTTTACAGACAGATGATTCAAGGAGCAACATCCTCTGTTAAAACTACAGGTAAACCAGTGGAAAGACAGGCCCAGAAGTCCAGCATATCCATGTTTTCTCCCTAGGCCCTCAGAAAAATATGTCAGTGGATCACTATTCTGCTAAGAACCTTTTCCCCAAGAAGGCCTTCAACTTAATGACATAGAATACTGATTTATTATTTTCTCAAGTCTCTAGGAAGCAGAATCTCTAAGTTTCCAGGCTATGTTCTAGCTAGCTTGGCATTTAACTTAAATCCTTTCTGCTGTGGCCCAAATCCACTAATTTCATGCTCATTGAGAGCCAACTATACACCAGACCCTGTGCTAAATGCAGGGCTACAATGGTGAGCAAGTCATAGAGCCTGCCCTCAAGAGGCTCACAGTCTTTGGGTCTGGGCACTGGTGGTGAAAAGAAATAGGAGGTTTTTTAGACTATGCTCATTTGCAAACCACTTCCAACACATTTGCAAACCACCACTCAGCTGATTCTAACTTATAAAGCAATTTACCAAGTTGTAACCTACATCTGTTGGGGCATACTGGCCCCACGAGGACTCCGTCAGGGAGCTGTATGTATCATGGTTTGCGTAATACAGGTATACAGGTATATCGTTCGGGACCTAATGTATGGGACAGAGCACATCTCCTTGGTCACCTGGGGAGTTAGGCAGTGTCTGAGTGGTGGAAGGGCCTGGTGGCAACAGGGATACCTGAACCAGCGTGGAGGCTGCAACTCACCTGGTGCTTTTGGAGCTCCTCCACATATCTGGTCATTTCCTCCTCTGTATGGGTCTGGGCCCCCTTCTGATTCTTTCCTGTAAGAAGAACCAAGGCTCAGAGCAGTGGTGGCTGAGGGAGGCCAGTTAGGGATCCCCACTAATATCTACCTTTTAGGCTCTCAATTTCATTTCCCATTTACCATATGGAAGGCGAGGTGAATTACCCACATTTCTCTAACTATAAAGTGTCCCAGTGCAATGGACACCTCCAAAGTAATGTGCGTGGGTAGTAAGTGACTGGGCCAGGGCCCAAATCCAGGCCAAGGGGAGACGGATGGAGCTGGGGTTCTAGAAAACTTTTCTGAAACATCTCTTTGTAGAAGGGTGATAGTGGTGATGCTGGCTTGTGCACGGTCCCCTCCTCCCCAAACTCTCCCTGACATCTCTATCTCCCAACCCACCCTGTCCATGTCTCAACTATCTCAACTTTCTCTTTTTTGGGGGACCCAATGCTGTTAATTCAAACATGTGTATGAACATGCCTCCTTTTCCTGCTTGGCATGGATGGCAAGCAAGAGTCATTTTGTCTTCCAACCACCTAAGTCTTTGACATATAGGATTTCCTAAGCTGTCATAAGGATTAAGTGGGTTAATATGTAAAGTGCTTAGAAGAAATGCATGTAGTTCTCACTCTTATGCATTTGCTTTCTTTATTATTATTACCATTCTAATCTCTTATCAACATTTGATCTTGTCCTGGGTCTCGAACCTCTCTTGTTCCAAACCTCTGGAGTGACTTTCCAACATAATGCATCTGGCATAAGTGCTTTGCCCTCAATGCTGCCCCCTGAGAGCTCTGACATTACAAGTATGAGCCAGTCTCTTGCTCCCCAGTTTCCTTGCTGGGACCCAGCCACTGCACTCTTCCCCACCATCCCCACCCTGACTTCTCTCATGGTGATTTCACGACGGAAGTTGTCTCCGTGCCGTCCCTTCTTTCTGCGTGAGGTGCACAGCTCACCGTCACAGGTCATGGCTGTGCAGACCCAGTTTCCACAGGCACACACACAGCGGTTACAGTCCACCTCGGTCTCAGCTCCATCAGCATATGTTTCGTCCTCCAGAGCACACTCTGTGGGACCAGAAATAAGAGGCAAGAGTTTAGGGCGAGGGTGGAACAGGACGTCTTGGCTATAGTCTGTGCATGTTACCCCTTTCCCAGACAAGACCTGCTTGTCCCTCAGAGGCACCATATCTGAGCAAACGCCACCAACAACCTGAAGATTTTTGGACCTGAATCTCAGCTCGGAGATGCTGGGCTGGCGCCCAGTCTAGAATCGTGGAAGGGAATTTTCTTAGTAAGCTCTGCAGAGTTCCACGATCCCCTCTATCTTGGCCCCCTCTAAATGTCCCCACTCCCTACAACCCCCTCCCTATTTCTTAGGTTAGGCATACTCTTCTCTGGAGGGTTGAAGGCTGGATTGAGACACTTGAGGAACTCTTGGAAGCTGAGTTTCCAGTCAGCATTTTCATCAGACAGTTCAATGAGAGCATCGATACAGAGTCCTCTGAAATGAAACACAGGAGAAACGTGTCAGCAAGACCTCAGCTTCAGTCCCAAAGAAAGGAATTAAGAATCAGGATCACACACACCTAGGCCTCCGCAGGCGGCCAAGGGGACTATTTAAAGAGAACATTTCTACACTGACCTCCTACAACCATTATGCGACCCGACTCCTGTAAGCATCCAACCTTTAGTTTATTATATGGGATGTCAGATCACTCAAGCTGTTCAAATATGCCCAAGATGACTAAAGTCTCCTGGATGGTTTTGTCCACTTGGATTGGCAAATGTTTCACCACCTGCATACCTTCCACTAGCAGTTGCCTTTCCCCATGCTATGCATGTCAAGTCAACCCAACTAGAAAAATCAAACAGAAGTGTAGGAACAGATGATATGAAAGGCATGTGTGATTTGAAAGAACATGAGTTGAAGCCAGCATCACCACTATCACCCTTCTGCAAAGAGATCTTTCAGAAAAGTTTTCTAGAACTCCAGCTCCCTCCGTCTCCCCTTGGCCTGGATTTGAGTCCTGGCTCAACCACTTACAACCCAAATGGCCTTGGGCTAGTTATTCAACCTTCCCGCACCTGTTTTCTCATCTGTAAAATGGGAACGAGGAGCCCTCCTTCACTGGGATATTATGGGGATCAGATGTTGAACTTGTAAAATATTACCTCATTTCAGGTTATCAAAATATGAAGGATTTACAGATATTATACTTTAAGGTCATGGGCTATTATTAGGAAAGAAGCCTAGAATCTGGGTTTCATGCTTTGAAATCTTTTGAACAAATAGGTGCTTTTCCTATTTTTAATTCTTACCAGTATACTGGAACCACACCAGAAGTTTCTTAGGGGTTAATTTTTATTAATATTTACTCTGGAATAATACCAGAAAAGGAGAGGAACGTGCTTACATTTGTAACAATTAGAGTTCTCTACATGAAATAGCACTGGTTATCTTAAAATCAGAACTAAAGCTATTTTAGACCTATCGTTAAATAGAACATTAAAGTAATTTCTTAAGAAAATTAAACATTAAAACATCACCCATGACACTGAGAAACAACTTTGGTCTGATGTGATCATTTATTTTAAAATTACATTCTTCCATTCCTTGCAATTTCTGGCCAAAAACAGTAACTACTTGATCCGATATCATAACGTTCACAGAAGAGACCAGGACAGAATCCCTATTTTGCTTTTTACTTCACATCGACTTTGACACTGGTGGCTCCTTTGCAGGTAGGAAGGGGTTCAAAGCTCTTCTCTTATCCAGCTTTCCCTCGTGGACCTCTCCCTTACCTGCTCACTCCACTCACCTAAGCAGCTTGTTGTTCCCCTGGTCTGCATAGGTAGTGATGTTGATGGCGGTTTCATTTTGCTCCACAAATTTCAAAAATTCGCTGGAGTCCAAGCGAGAGTCACCATTATCAAAGTTCTAGAAGGGGGACAGTGATCTTTCAGGAATGTTTTGTAAATCCCCAGCTCTATCATTCCCCCATTCAGCTTGACCCATCTCTGGTTCATCTTGTTCTTGACACTGTCCAACCCTGCTCTGCCCTTTGAGCAAAAAAGGTTCAAAGCCCTGGGGCACCCAGAGAAGGAAGGCACCTGTGCCCCAAGATGAGAGAGTCAAAGTGTCTGGGCAGAGGTCACTGAGGGCCTTTCAATCCTAGACCCTGCTCAGGATGGCAGCCTGAACCTAGGCCTGCACTGTCCAAGGAGCCTGGGGGTGCTTAAGAGGTCTCTGTAGCCGCATCCCTGACCCTGTTCCAGACATTCTTGACTTCACTCCACCATTCCAGGTTCTCAAACCCTAATGATCATGGAACAAACTTGTGAATCAGAATCTGTGTCGGAGCCCAGGATGTGTATTTCTAACAAGCTGCTTGGGAACAATGGTGCAGGTGACCCTCAGAGCTCACTTTGGGAATCACAGGACCATTTCTTGCTGCTTGAATTCCAGCCTCCCTGGCCTGCTCTCAGTGCTTACTTCTCACACTGGTACACCTAGCTGAACTCATCAGTGAGAAGTCAAAGGCAAAGGCCCCTGCATGTTATCTGCATTGATAACCTGCCCGTGGAGGTGGTGCAAGCCCCCTACCCCTCCACCCTATGCTGCAGGCTACACTGTAGATGGTGCAGCCTGTCCTCATGACCCAGCTCACACCCCATGAGCACAAGGCAAGGGTGTAGTGAGCTCAGTACTGTCCTCCCTTTGGCAAGATGCTAAACTGAGACCTTAGCCATCTGGGACAATTCAGGATGCCCAGGCCCCAGCTGCAGGAGGAGGGTGGCAATTTCAAGGCTCTGATCAAAGTCCAAGTTGGATAACTGCTGCTCTCCTAAATAGTTCTAGTGGAAAACTTTTTTTTTCAAAATTCTTTCCCTAGGCTGCCTCATATTGCTACCCTGGGAAATAGTCTGCACCCCCATGTTACTTTCAAAGTGGCTCCCAGGCAGTGGAAGGGATTCTGGAAGAAAAGTCTGACCAGGTGGAAGGGAAAGATACAACTACTGACTCTCCTTGCATGACTCATGTGTCATGTGCATTCTACACTAAGGTTGTAAATCTTTCCGTGGTATGTATGACTGGTACGTATAAAACAACCCTGTAGGCCTTTGCTTAATCCCTAGTTATCATTCTCATCCTAATTCCTAGGAAAAGGTCTCAGATCTCTGGTCACTATACTTATACCCTGGCTCCAATTTCAGCCCTGACCACCAGGAATTCAGGGTGTGTGTGTGTGTGACACGGTCATAAAAGGCTCTTTCTACCTGGTCTTCCCCTCTTCACTCTGTTATGCTTTTGTCTAAAAATTGTGACTGAAACACCAGTTGAGATGAGAGTCTGATTCTGGTCTTATCCAAATTCCGATTAGATTTGTTTTGCAACTGATTTTGATGTAAGGAATGCCGACTAGGCTAGAGGGCAATTCACTGGTTCAGAAACAGTCTCTTGTGAGATACTGATCTCTCAGCAACAGGCAGCTGTCTGCCTAGTGGGAAGAAGCCTCCCTTTGAAGATTGCACCATATGGTTCTTTGATAATCATCAACAAGTAGATAGTGAAAACCCTGTTTTCTCGGAAGACACTGGGAAGAGTGAGCATTTGTTTGTCAGTCAGGAGTAAGCTTTCTTGGTTAGCATGAGAATGCCCTACAGAAAAGCTACTTTCTCAAGTGGCCTTGCAGTGTTTAGATGGGAGTCTATTAGAGAGAGTTACTGCCAGAGGAGGTGGAGATGTGTGGAGGGGGTGTGTGGCCCTGGTCCTTGAGAATCAAATTAACAGCACCTGCCAGTGATGCCCACGGCAGGGTACTATCAAGGGGCCACCAGAACAGTTACAAGGTCCCAGGAGGTCTCCTGGAAAGAGCGTCCTGGGCCCCACGGCTCCTGGGCTGTAATGACCACGGCAAAGTCACTGCTCACGACCGACCCAGCAGGTGCTGTTCACTTGGCTTTGGAAAAATCATTTTCTTTTAAGTAACCTTCTGCTCCTGTCTGACTCTCCTGGCTCCTTTCTGTAGACAAGGAAACACCCCTGCCCCCAGGGCTCTCTAATGTGGGAGTAGTTGAGAGAGAAGACAGAGTGAGAGGCTGTGCTTTCTCTTCTCAAACACTTGGAATCCAGAGAGATTTACTTTCTGTCACAGAGAGAAACTTCTACCTAAGGACGGTAATGCAAATGAAGTCCTAAATGACCAATATCCTACTTCAACCCAACCTGGTATGTTTCCATCTGTGGGGTCCATGATGCCAGTTAGAAAGAGGAAGCCACAGACTAGGCAGGTGTTGACCACATTCAGTGGCCACAGAGGTGCCAAGAAGTCCCTTGTGTGTGTGTGCGTTGCCCCCGAGTCCGGGCTGGCTAGGCCTGCGACACACCCTGGGGGCATGTGAGGGCGTCCGTCTGGGGATGAGCCTCCAAGGGCATCTACCCAGAAATGTGTGTGTCTGTAAGTGAGGGGGTCTTTTGTGCAGGTGTGGGAATGCAGGCACCTGAACGTGTGTGTAGGATGTGTCTCTGTGTGGCATGCACATCTCTGTATGTGGTGTGTGTACGTCTGTGTTTCTGTGTGTGGTATGTTTATGAGTGTGATGTACCTATGTGTGCGACTATGTCCTTATCAGTCAGCAGGAAGAGTGCCATTAACTGCTTCTTCCAACAACTGTCTCAAGCTCTCTGAAAGATCTCCACATCATGGCAGCCTTACTCATTGCTAAATACTATTCCCTCCCTCGTTTTCCTCTTTGAAAGCAGCATCTTTCCTCCCTCCAACTGGAACGATCTGTTTCTTCAGCTAAACACAATGGGAACAGCAATATCTAGGTTCATGAAGAATTCTGGACCCATGAAACACCAGTCTATTGACTCTCCTCAGATGAAGAGAAACTCTGCAGGCCATGGATGATCAAGTTAAAGACTTAGAGAAGGGCTTCCCTGGTGGCGCAGTGGTTGAGAGTCCGCCTGCCGATGCAGGGGATGTGGGTTTGTGTCCCGGTCCGGGAAGATCCCACATGCCTCGGAGCGGCTGGGCCCGTGGGCCATGGCCGCTGGGGCTGCGCGTCCGGGGCCTGTGCTCCGCAACAGGAGGGGCCACGGCAGTGAGAGGCCCACGTACCGCAAAAAAAAAAAAAAAGACTTAGAGAAAAGCCAAACTGGGTGGGAAAGAGGCTGAAGTGGCCTGGGTCTGGGTATTGGCAGGCAGCTCTACAAGGTGTCATATGGAGGATGGGGATACAGCCTGGCCATATTTTTCATGGACAGGCTCTCCAAGACCTTTGTGGCTTTAATTGCCCAAAGGGAGCAGCCCATGTGTGTTAGATCCCAAAGGCTGGACTCCTAGAGTCCCACTGTCTGTCACAGCTTCATGGAATGATCTGTGAAGAAACTCAGGGACTCTAGGCAGGTTTATGTTTCCTTGTGGTCTGGGAAGATGTGATCAGGTAATGGGAGAGGAAGACTCCCTTTCTCCGGGCTGAACGGTCTTTGACTCCAACTCTGGTTTACCTTAAAGTACTTGTCTAGGATTTCACTGTAGTTGCTGCCTTTAGAGAACCAGCCATCTGGGATGATCTCCGCTTCCAGCCACTGGATGATGCGACGTCGGAGTTCATCGCGGTTGGACTGATAGCAAACGACTGCAGGAAAGGGGAGGGAGGTCAGCCGAGCAGTGAGGACCCCAATGTCACCCAGCACCGCGTACGTGGGGACTCAGTGCCCAGGAGTCTGCATGTGTCATCTCACTGAATTCTCACAGCAATCCAGGGAAACAGGATCATCACACACATGTACAGAGGAGTCAGCCCAGGGTACACACTAGAAAGTATCTAACCCAGGATTCAAGCTCATGTCTAAAAATATAAAGTTTGAGAATGTTGAAACAGAGATTATGTTGCTAAGGCGAGAAAAAAGAAAGAAAAATAAAGGACATTTTCATTAACTTTAGGAAACTGAGGGGAAAAAAATCGATCAATCAATAGAACAGCTCTCTTGGCTCAAAAATGAGCTGAAATAATAAACGAATACGTGAGAACATTACAATTCTTTATGCACTGGATTTCTGATTCTTTCTATATAGCTTTTCGTCTCTCTCATTAAAAACTTCTCCCACTTAAAATTTTATACTTTATTATGAACAACAGAAAATGAGGCCAAGGAAGGGCATGTTGAAGCCCTGCTCTGGACAGCTGTTCATTGTAAGCCACATGGCAACAACAGGTGGGGCTGAGAGTCCAGTGGATGGGGAAGCAGAGAAGGGAAAGCCTTGGCAAAAGGGAATTCCTGGAGGCAACACATGTTGGGATGTGAAAAGGGCACTGAGCCAGGGAAATGAAACTATGGGCACTTTCCCCCACTCTGCCACTTCCTAGCTGTGTGACTCAGGGAAATTCACTTAACTTCTCTGAGCCTAGATTTCCTCATCTATAAGGTAATTATAGTAAAAGCTACTTCACAAGGTTATTGTGAGGATCTAAGGAAAAGTGTATGCTAAAGGAGTCTGGTAACTATAAATCATGAGGAAATTTTAAATTTGTATTCATAGAAAACCATGGAAAGAGTCTCACTGTCGTTTCCAATCACCCCTTTCAAAACGAGTTGTCCAATCTGATTCTCCTTGTTCTGTGACACCCGCAGGTCTCACAGAGCACTAAAGGAGGGACTTGATGGCTTTCCCATCCTTGCAGTTCAATCATTACTCAGCAAAAATGGAAAATACAGCCAACATTCTGATCCAACCAGCTGCTTCCCGTGACAAGCACAAAAAAATGCAGTTTTGCAGCTTTTGTGAGCTATGTTGAGGAGTGACTAGTTCTGGGTCACAAGTTCTGACACACTGAAGATCCTGTGAGCTTTGGCAGGGATTGTGGAACATGGAATTTCCTCCCTAAGATGCACACCGTAGAAAAAACAGGCACTCACCTGGGCTGGCAGATGGACTTACAGATTTCTTCTCTGCAAGACAAAAGGAGAAAATGCATAATGCAAAGTGAAGAAAAAAGAAATTTCTGTGTATTGCTAGGATTAAAACTGCCCACATTAAGGGGGCCACTTATATCTTTCCATCACTTCGTCTTGAGTCCTTATATCCTCTCCTTCCAGGTCCCACGTTTGGGGATCTTTGCTTCCCTGCTTTGTTTGACATTTTGAGGTCACTGAGTTACCCTCCTGATCTCACACCTCCTACTGTTAGCTTGCGGGGGGCGCGGTGCTGCTGGGGGTTTGAGAATTCATACAGAATCATTATGGACAAAGAAATGGATACCAACATGTGGGAAACAGCTTCTTATTTCTCCAAGGAAGTTCAAGGCTGGCCAGGCGGCTGGTATCTGGGTAGCAACAAGCTTGGGACCCCTTCCCTCTTACCATAATAGCAATGGTTTGAGTGTGAATTAGAGGAAATATAATATTATCAGGGCTGAGAGGTGCCCAAATTTAAAAAGCATAGGATATGTGAAATTTATCTGCTTTCTAAAAAGGTACAGAATTCAGTTAAATGCTACCATATTATTGACTGTTGATGTGGTTCCCCACCCACTATCCATCTCCAGACAGCACTGAAAGCCACATTGGGAATCTGATGCAGGAAGCACAGGGCAGAGGCCTGGGCCACCCAGGGCAAACCCAACAGGCTCATGAGCACCAAGGGGATGCCTCTCCAAGCAACTGGGTGGTCTCCACAGCTTTGGGCACTGTGCTCAGGGTGGAAAGGACTCCAGGAAGCCAGGCCACACTGCTCCGTTCCATGGCTCCCCAGCTGGAGCTGTGATGTGGTGATGAGAGCACTCTTTACCTTTGCAGTGTCCATCGTAATCGACCTGGATTTTGGATCCAGTGAGGCAGGCATCTCTATGCAGCTCGCAGTGGTTGAGGTAGGTCTTGCTGTTGCTGCCACACACAGGCCTCTTGTGAGGTTTGCATTGCTGAAACAGACCGTGGAGGACGTTGGTGCAGTTAGGGCTGAGTTTGTGTGTGTGCACGTGCACACACACACACACACACGCACACGCACACAGAGCCATCTTGTGAGGGGAGTCCCCACCAGCAGAGATGCCTTCTATCCTGCCAGGGCAACAGGGAGCCTCAGCTCTGGCATCAGTGACCTTACCCCACTCATTGTTAGAGGGACCACATCACCTTGCAGCCCCTCGTGGTGCTCTGTGCTGATCCTGGCCCAGGGTCATCTCTTCTACTCAATGAAAAGAAATAAATCCCCCCTACTCCAACCCTATCAAATTAGCAGGAAGGGCATTTTATTCGAAGTCAGGAATCTGGATTATCTATCACTTTATCACTTTGTAGAAAGTCAATCAATGTCTCTGGATGATCTAAGATCCCTTAAAATTCCAACATTCTTTTTTTTTTTTTTTGCGGCATGCGGGCCTCTCACTGTTGTGGTTTCTCCCGTTGCGGAGCACAGGCTCCGGACGCGCAGGCTCAGTGACCATGGCTCACGGGCCCAGCCGCTCCGCGGCATGTGGGATCTTCCCGGACCGGAGCACGAACCCGTGTCTCCTGCATCGGCAGGCGGACTCTCAACCACTGCGCCACCAGGGAAGCCCTAAATTCCAACATTCTACGACACAAAACAGCCAGAGCTGGGAATGTGGAGAGACTGAAAGACAGGCACATACAGCTCCCTACCCCCCATCACCCCAATTCTTCACTTATTCCAGGGTCTAGCTACAAGAATCTTTGCTCTCTGGCTTTATTTAGTATTTTGTTTTTCTCCTAATCTCACAACAGTTGCTGTGAGGCAGGGGCAGGGGGTGCCTGGGTCTTTGTGAAGTACTACACAGTAAATGAACTAAGGTTCACTTGGCAACCTGATTCTACTTTGGCTATACTATATAAAGTGCCATTGTGACAGGCAAGCTCAGTTTCTTTAGACTTCATGATTTTTTTTTAGTTTCTTTTAAATTTATTTAATTAAATTAATTTATTTATTATTTTTGGCTGTGCACGGGCTTTCTCTAGTTGCAGCAAGCGGGGGCTACTCTTTGTTGCGGTGCGTGGGCGGTGGCTTCTCCTGTTGCGGAGCACGGGCTCTAGGCGGGCGGGCTTCAGTAGTTGTGGCACGTGAGCCCAGTAGTTGTGATTCGTGGGCTCTAGAGTGCAGGCTCAGTAGCTGTCGTACACGAGCTTAGTTGCTCCGTGGCATGTGGGAGTTTCCCGGACCAGGGCTCAAACCCGTGTCCCCTGCATTGGCAGGAGGGAAGCCTGAGACTTCCATGGTTTTTGAAAGGGGTAAGGGGGGAGCAAGTTCTGCTCAGACCTAACAAAGGCACTAAAGTAAAAATGAGCAGCTGTGGTAAAAGAACACAGAACCCTGGAACTGGAAAGTAGCCCAACCTTTCCAACTTATAGACCAGAAAACCAAAGCCCAGAAAGACAAACTTCTTTTAACTAATACTTACCACTGGGTTCTTACCATGTGCTGGCCCTGAGCAAAGCCAAACATGGTCTGTCTTTATGGCATCCAGTGGCAACTAATTTGTTTAAAATCACACAATGATATATGGCCGAGCTGAGGCTAGACATCAGGTTTCTGGACCCTAAATGGCCACGTAGTGGCCAGGAACACCACTAGTGAGGACATCCCAGAGTCCCCAGCAGATTTGGTTTGCAGGTTTCTGAGTTGGGGACTTCCTTTCTGGGACAATGGGTCAGGATCTTTCAACAGGGCACTAAGGTGGGTGTATTTACGTGTAGAATTACAGATGAATTTCCAGTCTTGGGTTCATTTGACAGAAAGGGGAAAAAAGGGCACACATCCAGGTTATTTATGTTTGCCAAGAGCAAGAATCCTGCCTACAAAAGAAGTATTTCTTAAAAGGTCACTTTGTTTTTTAAACTTCATTAAAAACAAAACCAAACCTGAGAAATCTGCATTCCATCTAGTATTTTAAAATATGCATATCCTTTGACCTAGCATGCCCCAGTGGGACTCTTTATCCTACAGAGATAAAGCCAGCAGCATGTAAGAACATTTGTAGAAAGATGTCATTGTTTGTAGTGGCAAACAATCCATGAAACAACCTCAATGTCCATCTTCTATAGGAAAATGATTACATAAATCTGGTTCCTGTACATCACTAAATATTGAGCTATTAAAAAATGAGTTAGAACTATATATGCTGACCTAGAGGGTTGTTGTTATATATTAATGAGTATAAGATACAAGTTGCATATATCTAGATCTGTCTATATTACGATCCCATTTTTGTATAAAATAGGGGGAAACCCTATATGTTTATAGCTGCATAGAAAAAAAACCCGTGTGGAACACCTAACTGTTTATACTGGTTATTTCAGACTAATGGGATTTGAGGGTTATGGGGAAGATTATTATATTTATGTTTGCATAAATGTCTGTACTACTTGACTTATAAAAAGCAATTGTTAATTTTGTAATTTAAAACTCTTCTAAAGCTAAACATTTTTTAAAAGGAAAAATATCCCTACATTCACATCTGATTTTTAACTTCTGAGATAAAAATTTCACTTCTCTCAGATAGACAAGGTGTGCTTTTATAAAGATGATGAAATCGTTGGCACTGCTCTGCAGACTGGTAGCTCCAGCGAGATAACCACACTCTGGCTCCCACCCTCGGGACTTACCTCGATGCAGAGGCAGGTGGGCTCTCCCTTCTCTGTGACTGCACATTCCCGGCCGGCTCCACAAAACACATTGGCACAGATCTTGGATTTGCTCCTTGGTTCCTCCTAAAACACAAAATCATCAAGGAAACCCTTGTGTCAGTGAGATGAGCCCATCTCCGGATGAGCCAATGGTGGTGATTATGTCTCAGCCTCGGGCCGTGGCCTAGAGTCGAGGCTCATGGTGCTGAAGGGTCCTAAACAGCCAGAAGTTCTCCCCAACAGCCAGCATCAGTCTTGCTGGCACTGCTCCCTCTCAGGCCCAGCTCCCTATGAATCTCTAAGATTGTTTCTCAAAGAGCAAGAGCTTCTTTCTTGCAGGCTTCCTTTCTTCTAAGACGTTTATTGAGCACCCATTAAATGCCAATACTAGGCTAAGGACTGGAGATAAAAAGGCATAGTCCCTGTCCTCAAGAAGCTCCATGGCTATCCAAGGAAACAGACTAAAGAGACCTCTAGAAAGCAATGAGGAAGTGTTAACAACAGGAAGGTGAGACTCAAACAAGACTTTCTGAAGATAAGATGCCTTAACTGACTCCTACAGGATGAGAAGAGCAAGCTAGGCAGAAGTGGAAATGCTTGAGAGAAGTACAGATATCTGAAGGACCAAAATCTCACTGAGCAGTGTTCAAGGCACTGCCATCTCAAAAGGCAAAGGAAGGATGGTTAAACCATTGGAAACATGGATCTGCTATTATTCGACATGGTCTTAGGCAGCCCCTGCCCATATCTGCCTCTGGCTTCAAGACCAAGAGGGCCAAAGAATCACGTGACAGACAGACCTGTTCTCAAACCACTTGTGGTCAGACATTCGTGTTCAGACATGTGCAGCAAAACTGACAAGGCAGGGAATGGTCCCAGTCTGTGCCACTGCCAATGTGGGTGTTCACAGGCACTAATCTGTCAGTGACACAGTCCTTCCCTCCTATCAATTGGTGGCAGAAAGCTAGCCCCACCTCATCTGCCACTCAGGTCAGCAGTAGTGGAGGCTGAACGAAGGAGAATGTGATTTCTTGAGCCCTTTTCTTGACTGCATGGGTAGGCAGTCACCATTGCCTCCAGGCTTCTGCCCACTGGGGTAGCATTGGCCGTGGAAGAACCAACAAAGATGGCAGAGGCTGGGATGGGGTCGTGGGACTGGCTATAGTAAAGCTGGGGGATGGAACCTAAGATTCCATCCTTCAGGCCATGTCTGCCGTGTCATGCAGAAAACTCACACCTGCAAAGCTTGTAACTGTAAAATTCTTATAGTCGGTAAATGTTTTACATCCAAGAAAAGGTCAAAGAAAGCAATAAACAAAGTGGATGTTGAGGGCTGAGAGGGTATGTCCAATACAAGTTGGTCTGCTGCCACCCGGAGGCTGCTTTGCAAACTCTAGGTTATTTTCTCTCTGAGCCAGCTTGCCCGTCATGCAGGGCTCCCATTGGTCTAGAAACCCTTGCCATGCTCGCATTTCATTGGTTCACAAGCTGTTGCTAAACCCATTCTCTTTTGGATGTTGCTAAGGCGAATTCAATAAAGCTGGCAGGGAGCAAAGAAAGAGGAAGTAATTCCCAGCAGGCTGGGGGTACTGGAGAGCTGTTGTTTCCTAAACCAGGAGTGGAGATAAAATCTAGTATATTCTCCAGGCAGGGCCCTCTTGGAAACTCCCTGGGAATGGCAAGCAGCTCTAAAAATGAAGAGGAAAAGGCTATTGCTGACCAGTGCAAAAAAAAATCTCACATAAGACTACCTTCTCCTCTCCCCCTTCATGAAACAACATGCTGAGGGCTACAGACAAATATATACCCCCAGTGAGTGTGTCACGTGAGTTAAAGACACACTACTGCATAAAAAAGCATGCTCAGACATATGCCTACACTCAAAGACACACCAGCAGACAGTCCCACAAGCCTTTACCACTTACTAGCTGTATGTCCATAATTAGTCACTTCAATTCTCTGAGCCTTGCTTTCTTCATCTGTAAAATAGGGGTAAATACCTGCCCTACCTTGTGAAGATGAAATGAGATAATATATTTGGAACTGCATCATAAACTGTAAAGCAAGCTGCTTGCTAAGTATTATTCATTTTAATGATTATAGAGTTTCCTGAAGAATAACCTGTGGCATTTACAGAGCCTATTTTCATCTTATGTTTGTTTTTAGTGAGTATTAAAAATAAAAGCTTTTACTGATAGGTCGAACTCAACCCAAGTCATTTTTCAGAAATAATTCTCAAAAACCCATTTAAAGAAACAGATACCCTTTACATAAAATATAATGACTAATAATTGAATAGTACTACTAAAATTTACAAAGCGTTTTCATACATACAATTTCATCTTACTGTGGACAGCCCTGCAAAAACATGCGTATTATTAACCACATTTTATAGATGAGGAAACAAAATGGGAAGGTCGAGTAACTTGCCCAAGGTCCCACAGCTAAAAATGAGGAGCTAGGATTCCAACCCAGATCTTCAGACAATAGATGACTAAGCTCCTATTTATAAATGCCTGGCGCCCTGCTAAGTGAATTTCATTTTACAGGATCTTATTTAAGCTCTACGACAACACCATAAATCAGACATCATAACTATCCCCATTTTATAGATGAGGGAACTAAGCCTTAAGAGCTTAAATAAGTAGAAAGTGGCAGAGCTAGGGTTCTACCCAACCAAAGGGAAAACTATTCTTTTATATTTGATTTATTTTCATATCTATAAGATTGAAAATTAAAGAAATTATGATGGGGATTTGATTTGCATAATTAGCAAATGTCAGGAGAAAGTGCTTAAGGCTATGACAGAGTTAGATTTGATGTCCACCTCCCACCTCTGCTCCTTACTTGCCATGGTTGTGGGCAAGGTACTCTCTTTAAACCTCAGTTTCTAGTGTGTAAAATGGGAACACTAATCCCTATGAGGACTGTGGGAGGGTTATATGAGATGTACTGCACGCAGCACAGTGCCTGCCACACAACAGGAAGCGGCCGTTATTACAGAGGGCAACTGATTTTCATACAATTTTCCCACCGTGATGCTGTCATCACCTTGGGCTGTCAAGTCCCCAACCATCCTTCCTTACACTGAATGATAATACTGAGAGCAGCACTGACCGAATGGAAAAAACCAAGGGCCTAACAACCCTGTTATCGTGTCTGAAGACCACAGAGAAATGCTAGCTAAACAGCATTCCTCTTTGCAGGTGGCACATCTGTCAATAGGGGGCAATCTCTCTCTTTGTCTTATGGAGCTTGGAGCTGCAATGCAGAAGCGCAGCTTTGGCTTCAGCAGCTCCTCCCAGCTCCGTCCTCCCAATCGAGATGTGACAAAGCGGGGTGGGAGAATGGGCGGGTGCCCTGAGGGCATCAGGACACCGAGAACCAGGGATTTGCTGACTTGGGAAAAAACATCTAACCTGAAGCCCTCACAGCACACCAGCCCCCTATTCTGCCCATTCACAGGCATGCTGTCATGTAGAAATCAATAAGGCAGAAAATTTTCTTTGTGTCATTGAAAGCCCTTCTCCAAGCCCTATGTTTTCTGGGAGCAGGGATGTCAGGAGCATCCCTGAGGCTCCTGAGAAGTTCCTCAGAGGGGTAGGTGCTCTTACCCGTCTGCTGAGTGACTGATTCTGAGTGAGGGAGAACATCTTGAGAGGGGATAAACATGGCAGGAACATGCTCAAGGTACAGGACAATGGCTGCCTGGTGTGTGAATGCAGGAAGAGAGAGATGAGGTGGGGCTCGCAGGTGGCAGGGGGCGGGTCAGGCCAGGTGATCCAAGGGGCTCTCCATGGATCTGATGCACAGTGAAGACCCTGGGAAGTTTGGGACGGGGCAGGTGACATGATGAAGGTGGTGCTTTCGAATATTGCGTCTTGTCCCTTCCAGCTTGGAAATACCGACTCAAAGTGCAGGGCAGCCTGGAGAGAGGCTGGAGACAAAAACCTGCCAGGTGTAAGGCCGCAATCTTGTGGGGGGTGACCAGGGCCTAGGTCTAGTATTAATCAGGGCACCTACAACTGAGTGAGGCTCTTCACAGATCTCTTTGTCCTCACAACGTCTGTGTAGGTTTCCATATTTTTAGTTCCATGTAACAGATAGGGAGGAATTATAAGATTCAGAAAAGCTCCGTGATGTGCAGAGTCCACATAACTAGCGAGAGCTGAGTCAGAACTGGAACACAGATCAGCCTGACCCCAGAGTCTTGATAATCCCTTACGGGGAACAGTCAAATGAGCTGCAGGGAGAGGGTACAGCTACAAGGGCTGGTACAGGGAGGAGTCACAGGCGCAGTGCAGTTCTCACAATGGAAAGAAAATTGTCTGCTTTACTACCGTAACAATTTTAGGAATTAGGTCCCAAAGCTGTATGAGAATTTCATCTACGTAGAGATAACGACGTTGGCATCTGAATATTCTCTGGGAGCGTGAGGTCGCAGGTATATGAACCGGTTGTCTGAATATACCTGTGTGACTGAGTGGAGAGAGGGAATGTGTTCTGGAAGTGAGGCCACCATGATATATTGAGAAAAATCAACAAAATACTTGCTCCCTATGGAGAAACATCAAGTTTCTAGCTTTATCCTTCTACATCCTCTCCTTGACTTGCTTTTATGTTGTTTTCATTATGTGTTGCAAGCCATGCTCTGGGGGTTTGGTCTCATGTTAATCTGCACACTTCAAATTCCCCTGGGTAAAAGATGACCAGGAACATTGCTGACTTTTACCAGGGAAAAACGTCCTCTCTGAGCCACTGCATGGTGATAATGATACTTTCTGTTTGAATAGCAATTTTGACGAGTCTGTAATTTTTACTGTTACTTTTATTTTCAAAACCTTTTAGGATAGGCAGGCAGGGGTTACTTCTAAGGCCCCTCCAGATGTAACATCCTATGATAAAGAAGAAATGGAGGCTCACAGCTGTATTGACTGGTCCAAGACTTCATGGGTACAGACCTGGGTCCTGCCCCACGGTCTCCAGACTTTATTTCCAGTCCTCTTTCCACTAAACCACTTTGCCTCTCTACAAATCAGAGCTAGAAAAGGTATTGTCTTGGATCCAAGGTCTAAAAAAAAAAA